GAAGGAACAGGTAACTCTAGTAAAATGATCCTGCTTGTGGTAATGGTCTTTCTCACAGCTGGATCATTAATAAACATGTAGTAAATAGTTGTTTGGTCAAACAGAATTCGAGTATTGTTGAAAAGTACATTTTACATAGACCATATTGCTGATGTTTTTCAGCTTGTACTCATCAGGGCATTTCACAAGGATACAAATTCTAAGTTTCTCCAATCTATCCATGTCATTGAAGTCCCTCAACCTGGAAACATACTCTAAATCCCTGGCTATCTTCTTTTTAATAGCAGGCCATGGTCAGTTATAATTTTATCTATCATGATGCCAAAATTATTTGGGACAGATCCATTCTTACCTCATTCAAACTGTCCTTCTCCCAAATAATTATTTTTGATCTTCTCCTTTTGCATCACTGACCTAAATCTTATGATACTATGATTACTATCACCTAAATGCTCCTCTAATTACATCTGATCCTTGAGACACTGTTCCGAAACCGAACAATATTTATTTCCTCATTGTCTAGAAAAACTCTAATCTAGAAAAGTCTCCAAACACGTCAGACATTTTTTCTTTTCTCCTTTTATTAGTGATAGGCAGCATGGTTTTGTGCAGGGAAGGTCATGTCTTACCAACTTGATAGAATTCTTTGATGAAGTGACAAAGTTAATAGATGAGGGAAGGGTTGTGGATGTCATATACATGGACTTCAGTAAGGCGTTTGATAAGGTTCCCCAGGGTAGGCTGATGGAGAAAGTGAAGTTGCATGGGGTCCAGGGTGTACTAGCTAGATGGATAGAGAACTGGGTGGGCAACAGGAGACAGAAAGTTGTAGTGGAAGGGAGTTTCTCAAAATGGAGAACTGTGAGCAGTGGTGTTCCACAGGGATCCGTGTTGGGACCACTGTTGTTTGTGATATACATAAATGATCTGGAGGAAGGTATAGATGGTCTGATTAGCAAGTTTGCAGACAACAAAAGATTGGTGGAGTAGCAGATAGTGAAGGGGACTGTCGGAGAATGCAGCAGAATATAGATAGATTGGAGAGTTGGGCGGAGAAATGGCAGATGGAGTTCAATCCAGGCAAATGCGAGGTGATGCATTTTGGAAGATCCAATTGAAGAGCGAACTATACGGTAAATGGAAAAGCCCTGGGGAAAATTGATGCACAGAGACATCTGGGTGTTTAGGTCCATTGTACCCGGAAGGTGGCAACGCAAGTTGGTAGAGTGGACAAGAAGGCATACGGCATGCTTTCATTCATTGGACGGGGTATTGAGTACAAGAGTTGGCAGGTCATGTTGCAGTTGTATAGGACTTTGGTTCGACCACATTTGGAATACTGCGTACAGTTCTGGTCGCCACATTACCAAAAGGATGTGGATGCTTTGGAGAGGGTGCAGAGGAGGTTCACCAGGATGTTGCCTGGTATGGAAGGCGCTAGCTATGAAGAGAGGTTGAGTAGTTTAGGATTATTTACATTAGAAAGATGGAGGTTGAGGGGGGACCTGATTGAGGTCTACAAAATCATGAGAGGTGTAGACAGGGTGGATAGCAAGAAGCTTTTTCCCAGAGTGGGGGACTCAATTACCAGGGGTCACGATTTCACGGTGCGGGGGGAAAAGTTTAAGGGAGACATGCGTGGAAAGTTCTTTATGCAGAGGGTGGTGGGTGCCTGGAATGCGTTGCCAGTGGAGGTGGTAGAGGTGGGCACGATAGCATCATTTAAGATGTATCTAGACAGATACATGAATGGGCAAGGAGCAGACGGATACAGATCCTTGGAAAATAGGTGACAGGATTAGATAGAGGATCTGGATCGGCGTAGGCTTGGAGGGCCGAAGGGCCTGTTCCTGTGCTGTAATTTTCTTGGTTCTTTGTTCATTTGTTCTGCTCTTTATGCTATTTTCATCCCAGCATTTATTAGGATGACTAAAGCCCTCTATTGTAATGATTCAATTTCTTTTTCACCTCTCTGTAAGTTCATTGCAAAGTTATTCTTGTACATCTTTCACACTTTTTGGTGACACAGAATACACCAAGCAGTGCAACAGTACCTCAGTTCTAGTGTTTCTCAGCTCTAACCATGATTCCATGACCTCCCCTCTCTCGATAATGACAACTTTCTCCTTCATTAATGCAGCTACGCCTCCACCTTACTTTGTTTAACTCATTAATTTCAAGATTTTTAAGTGCTCTAGGCATCTGTTATCACTACATCATATTTTTGCAAGGCTATCTGTGCTTGCAGCTCATCAGCCTTATTTACCATAGTCCATGTGCTCATGTACTCATGTACAAATAGCAGAAATTAAATTTCAACCTTACTGCATTTCCCTTTACTCTAATTCCACCTAACAATTAACTATTTCTTACCTTGGTGATATCTACCTTTCCCTGCTTTTGTGCACCTTGTTATATACTATTCCAACACCCTTCCACTGGCCAAATTAAACCCTCATAAAACCCTCATTAACAAACTGTCCCAGAAGGGCATTAGTCTCAGCTTTGTTCAGGCATAACACTTTGGGCCTGTACAGGCCCCAACTCTTCCCTGAATCAGTCCTAGCCTCAAAAATCTAAAGCCCTCCCTCCAGCACACATTCATGTCTACTATCTTCCTATTTCCATATAAACACACAAGGGGCACTGGGAATAATTTGGAGACTGATTGGTCCTAATTGCTAATTTGTTTCTCGATTATGATGGACAATTAAACAAGACATGGAAACTCCACAAACATCACATCCTAAACAGTGGCAAGTGCTGAGGGGCTGGAGGGGGTCTAGCAGCAGCACCTCAATGCAGAAGACATGGGTGAAGTACTTGGAGCCATCCTCAGTCAGAAGTGCCAAGCTAATTAGTCAATGTGGCCTCCTACTGAGGCACCCAGCATCACAGATGTCATCTAATTATATTCATTCCATATGAAGAAGAAACAGCTGATGACACCAGATATTGCTAAGGCTACAGGCATTGATAATATTCCAGCATTAGTACTGAAGACTTGTGCTCCAGACCTAGCCATGCCCCAGTCAAGCTGTTTCAGCGCAGCTACAACACTAGTGTCTTTCCTGATGGAAAGGATCATCGACAGTATATCAAGTGGCTCTTGCAAAGTAATAGGCTGCTCACTGACACTCAGTTTGGGGTCTACTAGGGATACTTGCCTGCTGAGTTCATTATAACTATTGTCCAAACATGGACAAAAGTGCTGAACTCAGAAATGAGATAAAAATGATTGCCCTTGACATCAAGGCAGCATTCCACAAGTATGGCATCACAGAGTGTTAGAAAATCTGGAGTTAATGGAAATTGGCAAGATAGCTTACCATTGGTTGGACTCATAACCAGCACAAAGGAATATGGCTGTAGTTTTTGGAGATCAATTATTTCAGCTACAGGACATCACCACAGAGTTTCTCAGGGTAGTGTCCTAGGCTCAACTATCAGCTGCTACTTCATCATTGATCTTCTCTCCATCATAAGTTCAAAAGTGGAGATCATTGTTGGAAGTTGCACAATGTTCAGCACAATTTATGACACCTCAGAATCTGAAGACGTCCATGGCTATACGCTGCAAGCTCTGGACACCCCATCCAACACCCCCAACATTCACTCCCTTCAACACCGACGCACAATGGCTGGAGAGAGTACCATCTACAAGATGCACTGCAGCAATTCATTGAGGCTCCTCTGACAGCACCTTCCAAACCCATGACCTCTAACACCTAGAAGGATAAAGTCAGCAGGTTCATGGGAATATCACCATTGGCAAGATCCCCTTCAAACCTCACACCATCTTGACATATTCCTTCAGTGTCACTGGGTCAAAATCCTGGAACACCCTTCCTAACAGCTCTGTTGGTGTTCCTACATCCAAACGCAAGTTTTTTTTCCATCATCACCTTCTCCAGTGCGACCAGGAATAGGCAATAAATGGTAGCCTAATCAGTGTTGCCCACATCCCTAGAACAAAGGAAAACAAAACATCATGCAATCTACCTGCAGGATCTCATCCCTTTTTCCACCAGTGGCATTGGTACTGATAATGGAACACAACTACTAGCTGTTCACTCTGCCCCTTCAGAATGTTGTGCAGCTGCTCAGTGCCATCCTTGACCATCGCACAACATTCTAAATTCATATGTAAGGTCAAAAATGCCTGCCTCTTTCTGTAACTGTAAAATCCGCGATCATTATAATTTTCTTCAACTTTCTCCCAGCTATTCCTGTACAACTGAGACAGCTGCTGTGTAGTGGATATGGGTCTGCCTGTATCTCCCAGAAAAAAAATCTGGTAGTGAACAGCACAGAAATGAAATCCCCTACTACATACCTATTTGTTTAATTATTACCTGACTTACTAGAAAGAAGTTAAATGACAAATGAATCAAGACTTCATTCAGCAGCTTCCCTTGTGCTGACATCACTTTATATTATAGCATATTTGCTTAACTCTTACATATCTGTCTACACAAAATAGTGCAGGAAGGTCTTGGCTCAATCTCCGCTGTGTACTCTGTTTACTGATCTCAGACAGGCCATGGGTAGGGCGCTATAATTAGCTCAAAGTGAGGGAAATGTGCACGTGGCCTGTTGGGTGAAATTATTCCAAAGTACAAGTGGCTGCTAAAAGTCATTAACCAAACCCATATAGAAAGAATGTTCAGTTTAGTGAGAAACTATGAGCTGCTGACATCAGTGGAATCAAATCCAGACAAAGCCAGCACTTTCAAGAGAAATGGAGAGAAAACTGCCAGGAGGAAGTGAAAGTAAATCTGAATGCAGAAGCACAGAAACATCCTGCATTTTTCAGGGTTATGATGAGGCCACACAATATATTTCATTGATATGCACACTGTACCTTTCATGCAGAAATTACACTATTTTTAAAGGCAGTAATATTTTAGCCCAATTAATGACATTACACATCAACACAAAATTTAAAACAATATAGTTTCATTAACTATTAAAAATGCAGCAATATCTTCACCTCTTACCCTGCTACTTGTTTCTTCATCTTTGCACAAAGAAAAAGATCAGTGAAGAGGAACACATGTCGAAGTTTCCGCGCTCCTTCCACAAGTTCGACCAGAAAGCTGTCCTTTATTAGTTGCCGATGCTGCAAAAATTAGAAGTAAAACATTTTCTTTTCTAATTTTAACTTTAGGTCGGTTGATGATTCTGCTGTTTGAATAAATTAATGTGTTAATTTTACTTTTGAAGTATTTATCTGTAGATGGGAGCTTTTAAAATAAAACACACTATATTTTTGGCACAAGTAACACCTTCTTTGTAAAGTTTTCAGAAGATATTCAATGATCAGAAAAATATCTCAAAAAAGCTGCTATCTGGCGAAATCTGTTTTTCCATTGGTTTAGCAGAAACCCAGCAGGGACTGTATTTAAAACAAAATTAAAATGAGAAACTTTGCATTTTCTGTTGAAGGCAGGTATAGTGGAAAGCCGGAAAGAATAATCCTATCCTGTTGACACCAATTTGATCCACACTAGCTATCCAATTTCTACACTGTTACAGGCACATTGTAGTCTGGAGCTTATGGATAGTGATGGCAGAGGCTCCAATTTTCTTTCTATCATATAAATGACTGGAAATCTGTCTTGCTCTTGTCAACTGTCATTGACAAGATTTACGATCTGATACTCAACCTAACTGGCATTGTCATAAACACACCTTTCTCGGCCATCTCATCCTGGAATGGAATTTGAAACCAGAACTTCCAGCTCAGAGGCAGGAATGCTACCAATTGGGTCATAAGATCTCACTGATAAGAAACTAGCCAACACTAATGCAGTATGTTATCAAAATCACAGATTGATCATGGAATAGGAAGAGGTCATTCAAGCTATTCAGTCTGTGCCATTACTCTGTAGAGCAATCAGATCGGTCTCATTTTCCTACTCTAACCATGCCCTTTCTTTGAGGACCCACACTCCTATTTTCAGGAATGAGAGTGTTTGAGGACAAAAGCTTTGAAAAATTGATGGCCAAAATCATTAGAACAATAGGAGGCCATTCAGCCTGCTAAGCCTGTTCCTGCATTCAATACAATCTCTGTTGATACCTACTTCAAAGTTACTTTCCATCTGTGGAGGAAAAAACAGAGTTAACGTTTCAGGTCTGATGACCCTTCCTCAGAACTTATTGTGGCTGGGAAAACATCAGTTTATATGCAGAAAATAGGGAGGTGGGTGGGGTAGGGAGTAAACGATAGGATAGAGCCCAAAGAGAGAGAAAGACAGTTGGACACACAAAGGAGTTGCTAACGATCAGGCTGGGAGGGCGAGTAGTTGTTAATGGGGACTGTTAGTGACTAACAACAGGGAGTGTGCAGTGGCAGGCTATGTGGTAACAAGGCCTGGTGTGTGGGGTAGGGAGCTGGGACATGGCAGAGTTTAGGCCCTAAAATTATTGAACTCAATGTTGAGTCCGGAGGGCTGTAGGGTCCCCACGCGGAAAATGAGGTGTTGTTCTTCCAGCTGCAGCAAGCCAGAGAAAGAGATGTTGGCCAGGGAGCAGGGTGGTGCGTTAAAGTGGCAGGCAACAGGTAGTTCAGAGTCTTTTTTGCGAGCAGAATGTAGATGTTCTGCAAAGCGGTCGCCAAGTCTACGTTTCGTTTCCCCGATGTAGAGGAGACCACAGAGTGAGCAGCGAATGCAGTAGACTGGATTCTGGGAAGTGCAGGTGAGGTGTTGCTTCACCTGGAAGGTATGTTTGGGCTCTTGGATACTGGAGAGGGAGGAAGTAAATGGGCAGGTGTTGCACTTTCGGCGGTTACAGGGGAAGGTGCCGTAGGGCTGTGGGGATGTGTTGGGGGTGAAGGAAGTGTGGACCAGGGTGTCCCGGAGGGAACGGTCCCTGCGGAAGGCGGACAAGGGAGAGGAGAGGAATATGTGTCTGGCGGTGGCATCTTGCTGGAGGTGGCGGAAATGGCGTCTGATGATCTTCTGGATGTGGATGCTGGTGGGATGGCAGGTGAGGATAAGGGGAACCCTATTGCTGTTGCGGGAGGGAACAGAAGGGGTGAGGGCAGAAATGCGGGAGATGGTTCAGACCTGATTGAAGGCCCTGCTGACAACGGAGATGGGGATTCCTCGGTTGAGGAAGAAGGTGGACATTTCGGAGGCTCCCTTGTCGAAGTTGGCCTCATCTGAACATATACGACGGAGACGGAGGAACTGAGAGAATGGGATGGAGTCTTTACAGGAAGCAGGGTGTGAGGATGTATAGTCAAGATAGTTGTGGGAGTCAGTGGGTTTGTAGTGGATATTAGTGGCAAGTCTATCCCCAGAAATGGAAACAGAAATGTTCAGAAAGGGAAGGGAGGAGTCAGAGATAGACCAGGTGAACGTGATGGCAGGGTGGAAATTGGAGGCGAAATTGATGAAGTTTTCCAATTCCAGACACGAGAGGGAAGCAGCACTGACGATATCATCGATGTATTGGAGAAAGAGTTGTAGGTGGGGGCCGGAATAGGACTGGAACAAGGAATGTTCCACGTACCCCATGAAGAGACAGGCATAACTAGGGCACATGCGGGTACCCATAGAAACCCCTCTTACCTGAAGAAAATGAGAGGAGTTGAAAGAGAAGTTGTTGAGGGTGAGGACAAGCTTGGCCAAGCAGAGGAGGGTGGTGGTGTGTGGGGATGGTTCAGGTCTTTGCTCCAGGAAGAAGCAGAGAGCCCTAAGACCCTTCTGGTGGGGAATGGACGTGTAAAGGGATTGCACGTCCATGGTAAAGAGGAGGTGGCTGCAGCCGGTAAACTGGAAGCTTTGAAAACGGCGTAAGGCATCAGAAGAATCATGGATATACGTAGGCAGGGATTGGACCGGGGAGAGAAGACTGAGTCAAGGTAGGAAGAGATGAGTTCTGTGGGGCACGAGCAGGCTGAAACAATGGATCTGCCCAGACAGTCCTGTTTCTGGATTTTTGGCAGGAGGTAGAAATGAGCTGTGCGGGGCTGGGGGACTATTAGCTTGGAAGCGGAGGTGGGGAGATCACCGGATGAAATGAGATCAGCAACCATAGTGGTTTCAGTGGCCTGATGTGCCATGGTGGGGTCACGGTCTAGGGGAAGGTAGGAGGAGCTATCTGAGAGTTGACGCTCAGCCTCTGCAAGCTGGAGGTCAGTACGCCAGGCTACAACAGTCCCACCCTTATTGGCAGGCTTAATGACAAAGTCAGGGTTAGATCTGAGATCAGGTAGATCAGTTAGATCAGATCTAACCCTGACTTTGTCATTAAGCCTGCCGAGACATTTTCTCACTGTATAGTTTTTTAATAACAATTTCAGCTCAAAAGACAACCAGCAAATTACAGAAATTATTCATATTTGACCACGTTCCATGTAAGGCCAACTTTGTGGTCTGCTCTAAATACTACCAGTAAACATTTATTTCTACTGCAGTAACGAGTGATTTCATTACTGGTTTCATATACACACTAACTGTATGGCAAACTGGTATCACTGGACTGACAGACCTTTGAACATCACTGAAAGTAACATCTGACATGTTAGAAATTGTAAAATAATTGTAAAAGTGCTGTGAGATGAACATACTGGGGTTTGTTTTTGGACTCTAAAGCTAACAGCTACCTCATCTGGCAGGGTTGCTAACTTTCCAGTTAGCTCGTATAAAGGAACGGAATGTTACATATCTTACGACCAGAGGTCAATCTTTATTGAGTTTTCCATCTGTGGCCTGACCAGAACTTATTAACAATTCTGCATAAATTCCCTGCTTTTGCTCTCTATGCCCTTTTTTTGAGCCCAGTACTTCATACGATTTGCTAATCATTCTCTCAATATGTCCTACTACCTTGAAAAATCTATGCACATCAACTTTCAGGTCCCTCTGTTCCTGTACATACTTTAGAACTATGTATTTCAGTTCTATCACCTCTCCTCAGCTATTCTGCAAAAATGCAACACCTCATAAATCTATTAAATTTTATGTACCACTTGCTTGTCCAGTTTGCTGACCACATCTTGTTGCAATTGATTGCTATCATCCTCACTGTTTACCACAACCATCAAGTTTGGTAACATTTACAAATTTTACACTCTATCCCAATGTCCAAGTGATTTATAATAAAAGGTGTGTTCTAGCACTAACCCTGAGAAACATCACTGTCTACCCATTTACAACGACTCATTGCTTTCTGCTCTTTTTTTATCCAATGTTGTGGCCAGAGGGCATGAAGAGAATTCTCAATAAAAGCTGTATTCTCTTCTACCTTACTAATATTTTCCCCTCTGAGTGCATTCTTGCCTATATTGCCACATTTAACTTCTGCTTCCTTTAAAAACAGACAACTTTGCCAGGCTCACAAAATGGCTGAGGCTGATCACATGATCATATTTCCAGAAACTTCTAATCCTCCCACATTGTATTGACATTCCAGCTAAAGCTGACACAAATTACCTGGAGATGAAGTACCTGCTTCCAGACAGCTCTGGAAAAAAGAAGACATCAAGATCATTTTGGTAACGTTTTCAGTTACCTAGTCACCTCACTTTGGAAATCCTGATGGAGGAGAGAAAGCTACATTGTTAGCTCACCAAGATGGGCCATCAGCACCTTGTCACATGATTGATATCAGAACTGGTTGAATTGCTTAAAAATACAATTCTAGGATTCTGAATCAGTTACTGTTTGACTTCCAGATGGAGACCAGGATTCCAGGTTGAAATGGCAACCTGCCTTCAACCTTCCATCTGTCTCTAAGTTGCTGGCAAGAAAGAAGCCTACACTTCACCAGTAAGAAGGAAAACTACTGGGCCCAGCTTAACAAGGACATGATGATTCGACAATGATTTCTGGAAAGTTGTAACTGATGTGAACTGGTTTTTAATACCTCTATCAAAATACCTTTCTCAACATTTGTAATTTATAACCTATCCTTCATGAAGTCCCATCCTCCTTAATTTCCTCCTGAGTGCTTGTGTGTATGGAATAGTAAAGTAATTCCTCTGCATTTCAAATGGTTTGTCAGTAAATCCTACCTTTCATTTTATTGAAAAGCATTTTATTTTAATGTTTATCTTTAAAAACTGGAATCTTAAAACCTGGCTTTGGGAAACACTTTTAGTCTACC